CAACTACTTGCCAGTTTTAAAATAGTGATTTACTAAACAGGGCTTGTAAAGACTAATGTAATGTTTAAATTGGTTGCTGGGAAACATCTGTAGCACGGACCAATCAAATGCAATTAACTATGTAAATACAAAGTCAATGTAGCATCTGTAGCAAGCTGTAACATAACTTCCAAAATAACACTTTCACAAGGCCAAACCCTTTATTAAAGTGAACTGCCAATCTGTTGTACATGTAGGTATGACTTTGTTTTATTTATAAATTCATATGTGAAGGAATTTGTGTCTTAGGACGTTAGCAGTTAGCATGTTGGCAGTTAAGGTACTTTATAACACACGGCACCCGATTGCTGTAATTTGCATCCAAATGCAACTTCTTTTAGGAGTCATAACTCCAAATCTGAAAACACAGACATAATACACAATTAAATTCAGTGTGGATATCATTATCTCCACTGTGAATAAACTTATATAAATCCGCTTAGAAATGACTGGAAAAAAAGACGTCTTTCATAAATCCAGAACACAGTACGTATTAAAGTAAGCCAGTGAGAGTTGTCAGAACATCCGTGGGTGCATTGTGAACAAGCACTGCTGAAAGCTAATTCAGGATACTTTCAATTATGCCAATTTGCCAAAATGTGAACAAATGTAGGCTAATGCCAGTACACATAACTAGTGTTATTTGGATGCTGATTGCTGTTAAACACAATTCTAATGAAGTGTCACATCCAATTTGTAGACCATATTATGTAACACCTCTATTACTCTTATATTAGCAAGCGTACAGCTGACGTTAGTTTTGCCAGTTGGTTAATTTAGTACCTTATGTAACATTTGATATTGAGTGACTAAACTCTAAGTAGTTTTACATTAGTGTTGAAAATTAGTGATGTGTAAATTTCAACTTAATGAGCACTTATGTTGTAGGTAGGCTAATTTTGAACTTACAAACCTTTTAAAGAGAACAAGTTTATTCTATTGGTCGCAGTCTGGAAATGTATGTTGTGTTTTTTTAATAGACTTTGCTGGAATAGAGATTAATTTGTGACTTGTGTATCTGTTCTGTCTTTGTCCCCTTCTGAAAACCTCAACGTTAGAGGAATGAGTTAGCAGCCTGGCAGACGACTTATTCCATTCATTTAACTCCAAGATACATTTTACACACACACACACACACACACTACATTTTGTGCACGCACACTGCTTTTCAGAATAAGCACAGAAAATGAGCAGGAATGTCTTGGTGACACCAGTGGAAAACAGAAGCACGTGTGGTTGTAGCATGGCACAAAGACAAGAGTATCAAACTGATACAAGGGTGCACTGCAGGATTTAAGACCGATGAGCAGATGTTGTACCTATAAATCCATCTGTTACTGTGTATCTGATTGGAAGGATGAGGAATAAGTGGCGCAACCCTGAAACACTCAAACGCCGTTTTCCCCGGATCGTTCTGGCAGACGTGAACTACACCAGGATGACTTCCATATTTTTGTTAGTCACTCTGTCAACATGTTCCATCATTTGTTAGCAATTTAAATATTTACTTGTTCATCTTGAGACATGTGCAAACTGACACTGAGAGAAATAATGGAATCGTTCTGTTTTTGTCCCCGGTGGGACGTTGTTGCGTCCTCATGTCTCGGCACTGATGAAATCACAGATGAAGGAAAGTATTCACACAGAGGAGCCTGACCTACCTACTCCTTCGGTTTTTGGTAAATGCTGTAGCTTTATTTCTCTTTATTTGAAAATTAAAAATCGCAAATTTTAATTTCTTTTAGGTGCAAAGTTTCCGATAAAGTGGACCGCTCCTGAGGCTGCTCTCTACGGGAAATTCACCATCAAGTCGGACGTGTGGTCGTTTGGCATCCTGCTGACAGAGCTGGTGACCAAGGGCAGAGTGCCCTATCCAGGTGAGATCTGTGGATCTATGGATTATATAATCACTTCTCAACTCCAGGGGATTGCTTATATTTGATTAATGCCGAGTGCGTGAGAGTGTGTGATTCTGCAGAGACACTAGCCATGGTTCTGTGGGCTAAAAAAAAGAGCAGCATGTTGCATAACGTATGTTACATTGTGCATTATGCAGAGCAATGTTCCCAGAAGACTGTGAACATGTCAAATTAATTTGTTCTTCTCTGCTGTACACATTTTGACATCATATATTACGCATTTAAATGAGTTACAGAATATCAGAAAAAATATATTTTTTTAACTAGTTCAATTATTTTAAATCTAATTATACTCTTATTTCTTTATATAAGTAGTTTTTTCACATACTTCTACTGTTTTAAGCAGCACACCTTTATGTACTAAAATGAGCCCTCACAGATGAAACAAAACTGAAATCAAATCATGTTTATTGGTCACAGACACAATCATACACAGTACATGTAGTGAAATGCTTTTGTCCCTGGCTCCAAAAAGCAACTAACAAATAAAAGAAACTGAATAGAATACTATAGAATAACAGAATATACACTATAGCAGTGTGTTTCAGATAAGTGAAACCGATATATATATCATATGCAATGTATGGCCGGTGGAGTCGGGGGTTTGTTTATATTATGTATTTGTAAAAAACACTTTTTAAACTCTGATCTATTGATATCGTTGTCTGTCTCAAAAATCAAATCTTAGTCGGCCTTTACATGCTTCCAATTAGAGTCATTTTGTTAATTAATTTAAATAATTAAGTTAATTGTTGACCTTTTGGAACAGTATACAGTTTGTTACCAAAATAATCTAACCTCAAAGGTCCACTTACTAGCTTTTAGAGCTTTCAGCAGTATTTTTAGTCTTCATTCTAAATTTCAGTTTGAATTGTTTTGGTGACATTCAGTTCTTCCCTCTACTGTTGAATGTCCTGACATTGTTTCTGTGAAGGCAATGAAACAGCTCATAAAGAAGGCAGTTAAAGTAAGACAGTGATGTGAGGTTCTTATTAGAAACATTTGCCTTCATTCCTCCGTGTTGTCCTCTCTCCAGGTATGAACAACCGCGAGGTGCTGGAGCAGGTGGAGCGAGGCTACCGGATGCCGTGCCCGCAGGACTGCCCCTCGTCCCTGCACGAGCTGATGGTGCAGTGCTGGAAGAAAGACCCGGAGGAGAGGCCCACCTTTGAGTACCTGCAGGCCTTTTTGGAGGACTACTTCACTGCCACTGAGCCTCAGTACCAGCCGGGGGATAATCTCTGAGCGCCGCTGCCCTCATCTCATGTCATTTCACCGGCTTCCCACCAGAGGGAGCCACTCTCCACCTAATCGCTCTCATCCCGTGGCTGTAACAATTCAAAGCTCATCGACTGACTTCTTGACTTCCAAGCTTACAAACTGGGACAGCTGCTGTTTTGACAGCATACTGACTATCAAATCAAAGGATGTTTTGGAGGTGGGAGGGGCCGCCGAGTTAAAGATGACTGCCATGGATGAATGAGATGAGTCGTGTTGTGTAACTTGTACGTAGTGTAAATACAATTGCTTGTCTACTTATCTCTGTTTTTGTTTCATTTTATATTACTTTTGATATTTTGGAAATGTGTGGATTCTTTTTTTTTTTTTAATCCAAGGTCAAAGTCAGAAGAAAAACGTGAGGCTCACAAATAATCGTGACATAATAACTGTAGGAACGGTAATAGTTAAATACATCGTGAACCGAAGTTTTTCTGGAAGTCCACTGACCTTTTTTACAAGGTGAATACAAGGATACTGCTCTCCTCTTCTCAAGGAACTTAGATGTACTATAACACCTGTTCTTGCCTTTTAATGTTTATTAATATTCTTATAATGTAAGGGAATGCCTTCATGCTTTCTACACACTAACTTAGTGCATCATGGACTCTTCCACCCAAACTTGTATGGCATCTGCACTAATATTAAGTGCATTCATCCCATTTCAGCTTCTGCCAATGAGTTCTAGATCGGCTTAAAGTGACTTTTAGTTCAGCGTCTTGTAGTTGAAAGGGGGAGGCTTACTTCCTCTTCAACTATTGTTCGGCTGATTGCTTATTGTACTGGCAATATTTTAAAATGTATGTTGCATTATTGTATGGCAGCCGGCTGTGTAAGAATTTGTGTCTTTTCGCTTCAGCAGCCAAACGACAAACAAACTGCCGCTTGACGGGAATGAAGGAAGTGATCTGTGTTTGTCCCTCCATAATGTGTATCTGGAAATAACATGTTTACGAGACCAAGCGTATTATTTTGCCAAACATTTCAGCCAATCGCATGTGTCGTTAAGATTACAGAATTCTGTTCTGTTTTTTTGTTTTTAATCTTTTTATCATCAACTGTCAAACTTCTCACCGTGTGCATTCCAGGACAATTTGCCACTTCTATGCGTCTTTAAGTTGCTTTTCACTGGTGGAAAAGTGAGCAAAAAAAACATGTTTTTGGTCTCTACATTATTTATTGTCTCTGTCTGTTACTTGTACACATCTTGGTTTGGTTTTTAAATAAACAATCTTTCCCCCACCGCCCTGTGTACTCACCGCTTTGAAACAATTAGCACTGAACACTTGTCAGTAAGTGGTTTTTAAGCCGACTGCTAACTTTCTTCAGAGAACATGCAGCAACAGGAAACTGACTAAACTCGTCACAAAGACAACATGACTGAAATATGCAAATCATGTCCACTCTGCAGTCAACATTTTATACCCGTTTGATTTGTTTTCATTGTACATCTTTTTCATCTTATTTCTGACAAAAACCTTGACTCTTTGTGGAATTTTGTCATTTGAGAGTATAGCTTTAATGTATCAAAGCTTCTGTTTCCTTGTTATTCCTATAACGGAGCAGTATTTATTAATCATTTTAGCAAACCTTTTTTGGAACAGTGAATTCCAGGAATAAGACACTGGAATAGTATCCCCAGATAATACTTCCCAGCCAATCTGGCTGAGCAACAAATACTATATTCTTATCTCTGATTGGATGCAGCTGAACCATGAAGAATTTGCATATAGCAGTCTGTGCACACACAAGCCTCTGCAGCCGCAGGAGTGGAAAGAATCCAGCAGAGAACAGGTATGTCCTTTTTATACTCTTCTTTTCAGACTCCTGGTGCGGACAAAAGACAATTAATGTAAGAATATGTTTCCATGTGGTATGTTCTGTATCTGTTGACTGCATGTGACATAATTTCCCAGTTCAACTATCTTTTCGTCATACTGCCAATTTACCTGTAATTCTGTGTTTTTTTCTTCTAACTCATGATGATAACTAATACTATTTTTCTGCTTCTGTCTGTTACTTGCAGGACTTCAGGCTATGCTGAGGTAACCTGGTTAAGATGGAGAAATCTGAAAAAGCACCAGAACTAAAGGTGTTTTCCACCACAAATATGTTGGAAAATTCCCATCAACGTTTGAGCCCTGAAGTCACAGTAAACCAAATATTTCATGCTAATTCACATCATGATGGATTCCTACCGACCTGTTGCGTGAATGCAGATTATTTCTGCCAAAATATAGCATGTAGAGTCGCGCAGGTGAACGAAGAGTTTAGGAGTCATCCGACTTGTGATGCACTGCATGTAGAGCTGATGCAGCACAGACAGCCAGGAGACAGAGGAGCTGCTTCTGCCGTGATGAATCTCAATCATCGCCCTCGTCTTGCAGAGACCAGGGAGGGTGACACCAGAGGAGAGAGCTGCCGACTTGACCGGTGCGAAACAACAGAGCCTGCAAACAGAGACACAACTCGGTGACTCTGAAATGTTGGAGTTAGGAAATCCGTCAAAGAATATAATATAATGTGAATTCATTTGGGATTAAATATTTTATCTATTTTTTTATTTTGAGGGTTGAGGATGAACACAATTCTCCTCTTCAGAGTGATGAGGCGGATCTTGAGCCTCCCTTGCCACTAAGATCTGATGATGAATGGCCACACTACAGACCCCTTCTACCTCCTCACCACCACATGATCAACTACGGTAAGAAAAAAATGTATTGAATGTATTTAATTAATTTTCATTGAAAGAGGCAAACGTGGTAAATATGCAGTCTGCTTTGAATCTATAAAGTAACTTTTCTTTCAGATAAACATAAACAGTTTAATATTTCACTCTGAACTAGTGTACTAGAGTGTAACTAGAGTACCAGAAAGTGTGGGGAGTACTCATGTAAAGTACAAGTACCTGAAATTGTACAGTACTTGAGTGACTGCTTAGCCACTTTTGACTGCTTTCGTTAGCAGCAGTTGTATTCTTTTTTCATTTAGCTGATTGTACATGTATTTGAGCAGGCAAACACCTTCTTTAGCCGGTTTTCTGCCTTCAGCATGTGCCTGAACTATGTCCACAGACCTTCATCGTAGTATGGATGTCAGGTATTCTGCGGGAGAAGGGCAGTACAACCTCAGTCCACTCAACATGTACCCTCCTCAGCCATGTTACCACTTTGCTTCCTCCCTGCCCAGAAGACACTGGGATGACACACAAAACTGGTAAACAACAACTTTAAACTTGAAATGGAGGCTATAGGTGCATTCCTTTTGTTACCTTACTCAGTAGACCATGAATCTAAAAAGTTCTGTCAAGCTCACTGTTAATGTTTGTGACAAATGCAGTGAACCAGGAACTGCAGCTTCTTTGCATATTACACAGACTATCACATGTCAGATTCAAACAAGGAGCCTTTTGTTTATCTTTCTTTTACACTGCTTCAGGCTCGGGCATCATGGTAACTTTATGAATCACAGTGTGGCTCAGGGAAGTGTCTCAGTTAACGTGCCCCAGTTTTCCGTCCCCCCCCTGGAGGGTGTGTCACAGGTCAAAGTGATGAACCTGAGCTCAGCAGGAGCAGAGGCGTCTGCCTCGCATCCACATGAGAAAAAAAGAACCATCAGCCTGCCTGATGAGAGCCGTAAGTCTGTCATTTAACCGCCATCCTACCAACATATATAACATACAATAACTACTGACTGATTAGAGAGAATAAGCTACTATAAGAAACTACCATCATAGCAATATGTTACTATTAGTTATGTAGATAATGTTATCTGAAAATTATGATTATTTTAGAAAAGTTTATGTAAATTTGCATTTTGTGTAAAACAAAATCTGCTGCAATCTGTGTCTGCAAAAGCAGGAAATCTGCTGCATCTGTGTCTGTCTCCTTCAAAATGACTGACAGAGTGCCTCTACCCCCTTGATAGTATGTGATACTTTAAATCAGGACCCATGACAAACATGTACTCAATAAATAATTCCATAATTAAAACTGCCTCTGAAAATGGGGATGACTGTGTAGAAATGGCTGTAATTCCTAAACGGTTATTGTGATCAGTGTAATATTTTAAATGGACAAACCAGAAAAACAAAAAACCCTTTTCAACCATTCTGTGTAAAATACTATCTTACTGAAATTCATTATTTAGAATTGTTGTTCTCTTCTCAGGAAACGTTTTTATAACTTATTCTTCGGACATTTCTTCAGAGATAGTCCTCTTTGGAGACTTCCTCACAAACCAAGGTTTTCGACCAGCCGTGAGCTAATATCTCTTCCCTCAAAAGTCAGATACATTTATTTTTTTAAACACTCCACAGTTCACTTAAAGCCCTGAATTTAATTTCACAGATTGACATTTTTGACAACCCCATCAGACCCATGGATATCAACAAGTGGAATGACGGTTACCTGAAAGATGTAAGTTAAACCATAGTTAAAACCTGATTTTAACAGATTTCATATACATTTTTGTATTGCTGTTGCTATATTGTCACATAAAATCTTTGTAAGCAATATTACCACTTATTCAATGACTTAGAATGCAAGATCTAACAAAATGTTTTGTGTCTGTTTTAACTGTTTTTTAATCTAAATTTTGTGTTAAATTTGTCTTTTCAGTCAATGAATCCGTCCAAAATGTGTGTATGTGTGTGTGTGTGTGTGTGTGTGTGTGTTTGTTTTTTGACAGCCATCAACCATGATTATCATTGCCATCAGTCCAAAGTACAAGGCGGACATTGAAGGATCTGTAGTTGATAGCCATGGTCTACACACTAAATATATTCACTCCATGGTGAGAACATATTTGTTTAAATTAGACATGATTCTGAGAATAATGGCTTATAGGTACTATAATTCTTAATCAAATTTTCCAGATGCAGAATGAATTCTTTCACCAAGGCAGCTTGAATTTCAGATTCATACCGCTTCTTTTCCTCAATGCGTCCCAGGTCAGAAAGGTTTTTTGTTTAATAACTTCAAGTTAAGCAGTTACCACCATTTCTCTCCCTGAAACCTTTCTCTACTGCACAAAAAAATAACACGTATAATGTGCGTACTTCTCACAGAAACATGTCCCATGTTGGCTTCAGAACACGTGTGTTTACCGCTGGCCGCAGGACACCGAGGATTTGTTACTGCGGCTACTCAAGGAAGAGAGATACATTCCTCCTCCTGTACCTCTGGAGCTCCCCCTCATCATCAGGCCTGTGGCCCTCAGTGACGCAGCTACGCTGTAAAGACACACCAGTGCTGTGTTGATGCGATTTAAAATCACTTTAAGTGATTAACAGCTCATGTTGTATCTAATTTACCTTTTTTTTTTTTTGATGTTACAAAGACGTTTTTTGTCTGTGTACCTATACACAACATGTTCACAACTTTAAATAACTATAGGGTGAATTTTATGTGAAATTGACCAGACATAGATGTCCGTCAAGGGATTAGATTTATTTGGAACATGTAACAAAACAAGAATAACCAATACATTTAAAATATACAGAGCAAATTCTGATTGGTCAAAACTCTACGGTCTGCTGCTATGAATGACTATGGACGCAGTTCTGATCACGTACACAGCGAGACAATTTTTCTATCAATCAAATTATTCTAAATCAATAAAATCATTTTAAATGGAATATTATGTGTCAAAGTATTGATTTCTTTAGTAGGTAGCTGTGTAATAAGCAAGATCATATAAAATTACCATAGTGTGTCAATAAAATGTCAAAAAAGTTGACAGTGAATGACTGATTTAACTGTTCATCAGAGTAAACGCCTGCAGGAAGAAACTGTGATTGTGTCTGGCAAAAAAAAAAAATGCACCAACACTTTTGGTGCATCCATCTGTAACCACTGACCAGATGTTTCCAGTTGCTATAGAAAGTCGAAATTATGAGATACTTTAACACAACAGTCGTAGAAGCAGCTCTTCATAGGTTACCCTACATTTGACATATGAATGGATTGTGAGTACATTGAAGATTACTTTAAACGTGGCTTTACAACAGATGACATACTTAAATTGCTTGATGTTTCACATGGATTGTACTGAGCAAACGCACCCTTGAATAGAATGTTAAGCAAGAAGCAGCTCTGGGGTGGAAAGAATAAAACCGATGTGGCTGGGGTGGTGACCTTCAATAAACAGCAACTGGAAACCTCTGGTTTTGGGGGGGGAGGGTTTGCTGACAGAAAAACAGTATGTTAGTAATGTCTCCCCCCCCACTTTTTTTCCGCCAGCAAAAAATACATAAAAATTGAAATCTTTTTTTTTTTTTTTGGGTGGATTCATTTTTTTTTTTTTTTCTACCATTATTAATACAACAGATAAAATTGCTATAGTTGTATAATTATTTTATTATTTACACATACCGCCTGTGTTTGAACATTTAATTATTCTGGACATGTTTTCCCTGTAAAATCATATTCTGTAAATCAAAAGAGCAGATTCAGAAAACGTTTAAGTAATTAATTAATAGATTAATTATATTTGATTAACTATATTTTTTCAAAAATATATTACAGCACCCTTATTTTTCCAAGTCTCACAAAAAACTGTACTATGTCATACAAAATGTCATAACAAAGCCATGATATAGCATGCCACAAATAGTCTTAGCATAGTATAGTATAGTATGTCATAAAAAGTAATAAACATGTCATAGTATCAGATGACGTAAAAAAAATAAAGTGTCTTAAAAAAGTCATCAAATGTCATGAAAGTAATAGTACATTAGTCAGAAACATTTGATATAAAAGTCATAGTATAGTTTGTCATTAAAATGTCAAAAAGTCATAGTATAGTACGTCATAGGGGTGCCCAATTCATTTAACTGATCTCACACACGCACCTCTTCAACCGCCAAAAAAGGCCTTTCGGAGCAACTGGTGTGCAGAGCTCCAGCTAAGAATAACCCGGACCTTCTGGTGGATAAAGTTACCTTGAAGCCTCCCTGTGCTCTGCTCTGACCTATACCCATGTGAGGCACCAATAACACTGGGTGGTATTCTGTCTGTTCCCCGTCACCAGCGCTCTGCTTAGCTTGGCTCTTTCCTTCCTCTGCGCTGCTTTCCTTTGCCCCACCGTCCCCAGACCCCCCTCTGCAATGCTGCCACACTGGCAGCTCCAAATTCTGCAACACCTTTAAATCTTAAAATTTACGCTTGATTTTCTATTGTCTTCTTTTTTTTTTTATCTTGGAGAAGTTCAACCTGTGGATAACATGCGTCAAGAAAGAAGCCTGTGATCACAAAGTGGAAATGGAATAACTTAATTGACTTGGTCAATTTTTTACGTAAACAGTGGATGCTGATTGGATGCCGACTGAAGCTGTGATTTTCCATTCACTTCTGCATGAGGAGGCTTTGCCCTCAACTTAAAGGATTATAGCTGAAATTGTCTCCATATTACCATGGCGGAAGGTAGGACTGTTACACCCGTTATTGCACAGAAATTAACAACACTTGTTGTTTGATATAGTACAGAACGCCTAAGAGATATAAGCTATATATAATAAATAAATGGCAGTGTTTTCATAGGTTATGTCCTCTTTGGAAAACGTGTTGAAAGTTGGTTGCTATAAATACAGGATATCATGTAGCCAGAGTATTAGCGTTGCTCTCCTGTGACAGACATGACTGCTGCTGGGGCTGACCTCTGGTTTTCAACTTTCTTTTTGCCATTTAAAAAATAGGCTAATACTTCTCATGTAATCGTCCTCAAACAAGTGGCATTTTCCAACCAATTGTTTTGTTTAGTGAAGTTTTGGGGGCTTGAATGAATTGAGCAATAACAGACAGTTTTCCTTTCGAATCGGTGTACATTTATTGTGAAATGCTGACACCACCTGTCCATCCTGAATAACTCTGAAGGGACTGTCATTAGTTTTTTCATAACCGCATATGAGGAAGCAAATCGGGCATGTCGGGCATGCTCAGATTTTATTTAGAAGGTCTCTCTAACCCCCTTGGCACCATGTCCAAGATGGAAAGTACAGCAGTGTTGATGATGGCGAGTCATTAAATGCCATCACAATAATTGTTGACTATGCTAAACAGGTTGGAATTATGTGCATCATATGTTTGGATGACCTGATGAAATAAAAATGACAGATTATTATTGTCTTTCATGATCTTCAATCTAACAAGATGTTAGCCTACCAATCAATTTAATCAAATTCATATAATCCCTCAACATCAGGAAATTAGTTTACATCTGTTTACAACGCACATGCTGGGTTAATCATTTGATAAATGCAAAGATCAGACACTGTCTCCACCGTGTAAAGTTTCTTTGATCACAGAGGACATATCCTTCACATGTCATGGTTTAGCTGCAGTTTGTGGGTAATGAGACTGGAGAGGTGGCTATGGAAGGACATAATTATACCAAACATGCCACAGGAACTTCCTAGTCAGAGATTTCACCAAATCATCACAACAAGTCAGTTATAAATTGTTCTCCTACAGCATTAAATTAACAGGCAAACTGTAGATTTGTAAAGCTAGTAGATATTCTCAGTTTGTTGCTTACAAGACAGTATCTTAATATAGTTGTTCTTGCTTTTCTCGCTCACCTGAAGTGGGTTGGGCTCAGTTGGGAAAAGGTAAACTCGTGTATTTCTGCGCACCAATCAGAGTTCTCAAATATTTGAATAAATGATGACAGTTGTGTGGTTTGCTTTCTGATGTTGCCAGTACGGTCAACCAAATGTGATAAATCCAAAAGAGAAGTGCAATGAGTGAAGTGTCAGATCCTTATTTCCGTATACAGAGTCTGACCAATAATCATTTTTAGACTTTAGATTTTTAAGATACTGATTTCAATAGTTTTTAAATAATCTAATAACATATAATGTCCCTGAGTGGGAATTTTTAGGTCTGGCCCTATTATTTTCAAAAATATACACTCCCATGCTACGAATGTGTAGAAAAAACACTGAAAAAAAGCAAATACAAATACCTGCATGCAACACTTTCCCAATGCACTTCTGAATGTAGCCTCTCTGGAGATTGTTGTGACCAGCTGCATGCCACTGTTTATTTCTTATAACAGTGAGGATTGGGTCTGACCCTAAAAGGACAAATCAAGTATGTAAAAAATACATAAAAAACTAAAAAGTATACTTGTTCCTACTTGTTCCAGTGTAGCAGAGAACCAAGCAGCAAAAGTTGTACTACAGCAGGACTGTCTTGAAGACGTTGAGTGACTTAAGTATCTTTTTGCGTTTTGTCACATAAAGGAGCAGCATCCTCCTCCTCCACAGCCAGTGGGTCCAATGGAGCAGCTACACCACAGACGAGCTCTCTCAAGTCCAAAGGTCTGGGCCTCCTCGGGAAGCTGAAAATGTCCACGGAGCTGCTGATTGCCCTGGCTGCTCTCCTGTCCTGGGTGGTGGTTGGAGTGGTGATGTTTGACTTTGTGGAGTACAAGGCAGTCCCTGGTAAGTCACGAATACCTGAAAAATGCATGTTTTCAGAATTACAATCATCAAACATGCATATCATCATATCACATTGTTATTAATCTCAGACATTCAGCAAATCGTTTCGGACCCCATGCAAGCTGTAAACGACGCTGTTGATGAAGTATCCAGTCTAATGAATAAGTTTCAAGGTACATAGGAGAGACAGCATGCATGCCACATCTTTTCAGCAGTGTTGAAGCAACTATTGTAGTGTTTGACTCTTATATCTCTGGGCCCCTAGAATGTGCACCTGATTTAAGTGACCCCATGTCCGCTGCCACCTACGCAGCTGATGAAATATCGGAAGCAAAAGATGGATTTGTTCGCTATTTTTCAGATGAGGAAGGTATGAAAACATACTCGTACTCAACCAGAACAAAAGAAAAGTTAGCATTTTAGTGTACATGTGATGAGACAATGGCTCTAATAATCTACCCTTAAACCCACAGGGAATTTCTACCTCAGCTATGTTGACCCTGTGATCATCGGTAGACAAGCTTTCCATTCAACTAATGATTTTATGGGTGGAGTTGCGGGCACCTTCAGGGACACCCTGTGTGCTATTGTGGACACCGCATTAGATACTATATCGGATATAAATAAAGGTATGTATTCCATATTTAATGCTTACTTCTGACTAAGGAATTTGTCTGTCTTCCCTTTTTTATTCACAACGAACAACATGACAATAAACTAACAATGAATACATTTTTCCCTCAAATGTTTTTCTCAGGAAAAGTTGACCTTAGCTACATTGACCCTGTGGTCATAGGCAGAGGTGTCTTCGGTGCTACTAATGACTTTGTGTGTGGAGTGGGGGGCTACATCCAGGATGTGCTAGATGCAATTTTGGAGACAATTCTGGATGTAGTAAAAGGTATGTACTCTCCCCATTTACCATCCCTCTAACCTGTAACCTCTTGAATATTAAAATGACAATTTCACACAGCAATACAACACTGATTTCATATAATTGTCCTCATTTCTTTTCTATTTGTTTTTCTCAGGAACCATGGACATTAGCTTCATGGACCCTGTGGTAGTTGGCAGAAATGTCTTCAGTGTTACAAATGACACCATGAGGGGAATAGTGGTCTACATCCAGGACGTGCTTTGTGCCATCATAGACAGTGCACTGGATATAACAAAAGGTACCTTTTGTATTTTATATTTCAACCTTCTTATTGTTTGTGGTGCATTATTCCATTAAACATTATGTCTGTATTACTAAATTAACATTATTACACGGTAACTGTTAGCTTGTGTTTGTCGTGGGTGTGTAATGCTTTTTGTTTTTTATATTAAGAATTGTTCATTACTGGCGGACAATATCTTTTCCCATTGGTCTTTAACTGTCTTTCCAAATGTCTCTATAACAAAAAGTCTTTGAATTTGTTGAATGAAGTTACTCACTGGAGCTTTGGCTTGAATGTGTTTTTTCTTCTTCTCAGGAACCACTGACATCAGCTTCTTTGACCCTGTGGTTGTTGGCAGAAATGTCTTCAGTGTTACAAACGACTTTCTGAGTGGAATAACAGGATACATCCAGGATGTGCTCTGTGCCATCTTTGATGTAATAATGGACACAGTAAAAGGTAGAGTATTTGAACCTTTTACCTGTGATCTTAAAATCTACTGTATGTGTGTTTACCTTGACAATGTACTCTACTCTAGTCTGCTAACTGCAGCTTTTACATTGACTTTTCTGTTGATCAGATATCCAGCATGCTGTGGGATTCAGCCCCATGTCGGCTCTGAAGAGAACAGCAGAAATCACCACAGAACAGATAAACATGCTCGTGAGCTACGTCTCCACAACGCTGATTGGTGAACAAGGTCTTTTAACATTTTCAATATATGAGGACGTAAATAACAAATAAGCCACATTACAATACTATTGCTGGTATATCACTGTGTTTGCATTCACTGTCATTACTCATATTAAGATATGTATGAGTAAGTTAATGGAATTAATATTAAACAATCAAAAGCTGTATCTTTTTAGTATTATGAACAGCAGGTTTAACTGACTGTGTTGTGCTAATGTTTTAGGGATCATGCCTGAAGCTCCCATGAAGGTTGTGGAAGATGCCTTGTTGGATTTCTCCGAAAAGAAAGATGTGTTTGTGGCTTACATGTCGAGCATGCTTGTTGCTGATCAAGGTATGCTTGTTTGCATTAGTTATATACTATAATAATAAATACTATAATAACTTAAACTAAACAAAAAGTTACACATATATAAAGACACTTGTACCATATCTGTACCATATACAGTATAGTGATTGACGCCTTGATGCATACTTTATCATATTTTCTTCTCTTTTTTTAGGCGAACCTGTTGTAAAAGTAGTAACTGAAAAAGGTTTCACTTTTTATTACTGTTTTAATTCACCTAAAAGCATCTTACTAGCATATGACTGCAAATTACACCCCATTTACACAACATGTCTGTTTCTTCTCTTTGTTTAGATGAAGCTGTAGCTCTCCCGTCTCGTATACATATGGTACAAAGGAAAGGTAAATAATGACTAAGATAATTTCTTAAAAATTAAGCTAATTTTCTTTAATTAACATATTTTCTTTGAAATGTAGGTGAATTTCTGCCACCTTTTGAAAAAGGTAAGAAAATACCAGCACATATCACGGAAATACACAATTACATTGTTTTGGACATGTGCAATGTGTGTTGCCAGCAAATAGTTGCCTTACATGCATGTTTGCATTGATTTTTGTTTTTCTAAATACTTTCTGTGAACTGGTCTCAAGTCTGCCTAATGTCATGTTCAGTAATGAAACTGAAAATATAAAATCTGACACTGAAAAATATAAGAACTCAAATATCAAAATATATATGAAAGTGAAAAATGAAAAAATATATATATATTCAAAAAAATTCCAGAACTGAATCAAAATTATATTCAACCCAAAAAAACTTTTCATTCACTTATTTTTATTTTGAATACATTGCTGTATTTTTCAATGTTCAAGACCACAATTTGAACTTTCAGGTTCAAATTTTTTTTTCAAAAGAACAAAACTTTTGACCTGGATTTAGCTCCATACTAGGATTTCTATGTTATATTGAGCATGAACATTTGTCTTTATAATTTGTCCTTTGGAGTTGCATTCCACTGACTTACTAACCAACTGTAACCTGTATTTCAATAATTTAAACATCTGCGATATACTGTATGTGTCTAGAAATGTATCTGGATTGTTTGTACGGGATGACGTGTTTTCGTCTGAAATATTTCATATTATCTTTTATCTGAGGATCTTAGCTCATTTAAATTATATAAGTAAATGGGGAAAGTCATTAACTGCAGCATATGGTGCGTACTATATAATGTTATGAATGGTCATTGCTCCCATTTCACCCCATCAAATTACTCTGTGCCTGAAAATAAGTTTGGAGCTGCTTTTCTGTGTAATGATGTGAAGGTCAGATATGACAGGTCACATGGGTGATGGTACAGTTACAGAGATCATGCAAGCTGCCAAGGATGAAGCTGCTGCTGCTGCTGCTGCTGCAGAGTTAACTGAAGCACCAGACTCAAAGATTAAGGAGGAAGAGGAGGCTGAAGTTCCCACTGAAGCTGCCAGTGAAGCAGACGAGGAGGAGGAGGAGGATGGTATTCATACATTTTTCTCTAATATTCACATTCATTAGTCAGATACAAGATCAATAACAGGCACTAAATTTGTTACTATCACATCACTAGTGAAACATATCGACCTTGAAGAAACAGAACATGAACCATCACCTGTAGATGAGGGAGAAGAGGTTGACAGTGAGGAAGAGGAGAAGAAGGAGGAGATAAAAACAGAAGACGATGCAGCCTACGAGGAGGAGACAGACGAAGAGGAAGGTGTTGGTACACAACAGGATGAGGACTTAAAAACAGAGGATGATGAAGGAGAAGACGGGGGAGATAATAAAACAGATATTGAAGAAGAACAAATAGAGGAACCGAACACTGGAGAAGAGGTGGTAGAAGCTGAGGTGGAGGCCAAAGCTGAAGACATTTTGATAAAAAGGGAGAAGGAGGAGGACAAAAAAACTGAACTAGAAGATGAGGAAGCGGAGGTAGAGGAGACCAAATTTGAAGAACATGCAGTAGAAGATGAGGAGGAGACACAAACACAACGTGTGGTAGAAGATGAGGAGAAAGAGGAGGGGGCTAAAACTGAAGAAGTTTTGGTAGAAGATAGTGAGGAAGAAGAGAACGGAAAAACTGAAGTAGAAGATGAGGGATTGGAGGTGGAGGAGACCAAAATTGAAGAACATGCAGTAGAGGATGAGGAGGAGACAAAAACAGGACTTCTGGTAGAAGATGAGGAGGAGGAGGAGGAGGAGGAGGAGGAGGAGGAAACAAAAACTGAAGAAGTTTTGGTAAGAGATGGGGAGGAAGAGGAGGAGACAAAAATGAAAGACGCAGTAGAAGAAGATCTGGAAGATGAGGAGGAGGATGAGGAGGAGACAACAACAGGACTTGTGATAGAAGATGGGGAGGAAGAGGAGGAGGAGGAGACCAAAACTGAAGAAGATTCTGTGGAACCTAGGGAGGAGAAAGAGGAGGAGAAAAAAACTGTAGAAGTTCGAGTAAAACATGAGGAGGAGGAAGAGGAGGAGACAAAAACAGAAGAAGAGGTTGATGGGGAGGAGACTGAAGATGGAGATATTCATGCTGATGAAGGAAGAGACCAAGAAAAAACTGTTGACACTGATGTCAAAGATCAGCTTGTAAAAACGGACCAGGAAGCTCAAACTTTAGATGTGGACGATGATGAGCATTCAGAAGAGGAGGAAGGAGAAAAACTGGTCAAAGTAGAGATGATTGAAGTGGACGATGAAGATGAAGAAGAAGAGCCATCTGTCCAACATCTTGATTTTGAAATTCTGTTATCTAAAAAACTCAATAATGCCAGTGGCGTGCCCAAATCTGACAATGTTGAAGAAGAGGAAACAACAGTTCACGACCAAGACGAATACTCCGACATCATCGATGAACTTGATGAAAACAACAACAACAGTGAAAGTGTGAAAACTGGACTCAAACGAAAAAGGAACGTTCATATTCCCTTTGAGAGACTGAGAAGAGTCGGGTTCAGAGCTGCCCACAAAGAAGAACACCTTCACAAACATGACAAAGGTACAACACTCTTTACCATGATCATCTCATCTATTTCATCCTTGTTTTCATTATTAGGTAATGAAAATGTTTCTGAATGGTGAGTGTGGATATTTATTATATCTTCATTTTCTTAACATGTTTTCAAAGGATCACTTGGTTGTGACGGGACTAAAGTTAGAAGGGCCAAACAGATATTTGTTCAATGACTGATTTACTGAATGTAACATCTTTCATATGTTTATATCAGTGTGTTTTGTTAACATTGTGTGTTTGTTTGTTCTGAGAGATTACAATATTTTAGATAATAATCTACCTTGCCGTCTTACCCAGAATCCGAGAACATAAAAAGATAAATAGCTAAACTAGCTTAATGTTAGCAACATAGAGTCACTTCAGTTGTCTAAGAATCATCAAGTCTTTAAGTTTTCTTCACTATCAAAGTAATCCAGTTGCGGTTGTCAGTATAACCACAGGTATATTGCAAGCAGGAACTGTTAATAGGTAATGCAGCATACTTTTAATGGTGCCAAATTGTAAACAACTATATGCTAAAAACACTGGGGCTCAAGTTCTAGCGCACAGTTGAGTTTAAAAACTCGCCCTGACACATCTTTACCTCAATTTGTGTTGCCCAAGAGGAGAAGTCAACGCATATCCTTGGACTGACTGTACTTGATATTCTTCTTCTCTCTTCTCATCTGACTACAGGAAATACAAGCACATTTACCAATATAACCAGATCAAATCTAACTAAAGTTGTATTTAGATCAGAAACTTGTGACTTGTGAACGTGTGAATAGCTGCAGAGAAAGAGGATCTTGGGACTAATACAGTACAGAGCTCCTTAAACTGTGCTCTTGTGTTTTTGATGACTTGGAAAAGACAAATCTATTTTCCAAGGGGCTAATGGTGTACTTGAGTGTTCCTGCTTTAGACCAAACATTCATTGCCTTAGGCAGTGAGCCAATAGTACAGAGGGCGGCTAGATGGAACTAACAGGCTGAGAAAAACATTAATGGGTTTCTGGATGAGGACACAAAACAACATTCTGATGCACTATATGATCTTCCCTCCACAGTGAATTATGTATCAACAAAAAATATTACTGATTAACTAATTATTGTGACTTACTGTAGATCTCTGCAGTCTAGCTCTAAAATATAGGTCTGACTGCTTCAATAATATAATATCTAGTTGTGGTGTGTTTCTGATCAGTGCTTTTAGCGTTATAGTGCTTTTAGTGCTTATGCAAGCATGATTATCTGTCATGATGACTGGGCTTTTTATACAGCACTGTTGTTAGCCTGGGGCTAGGCCTGGGCTAAGAATATGCAGTGTGATTACTGGTCAGAATTGGAATGTGAAGTGTTAATTTGTACATATTTTGCATTATGTTCTTCAGTTCTCAAAGAGGCAAAGGAAAGACATGCAATAAAAGAAGTTAAATATGCCATTATTAAGGGTAATACTTTTGAAAAATCCTTTGAAAAGCTATTGTATAGTGAAAACAAGAATTTACTCTATGCACACAAGCACATGATACGTGAATGAAGATGTATTGTGGCTTACAGACCTCAAAGCTGCAAAATCTGAAAAGCAGGAGAAAAAAGAGGAAGCCAAACTTCAGGAAATCCTAGAGATAAAACTAAAAGAAGAAACCCTAAAGGAAGAGGCTAAATCACTTGAGAAGAAACCACCGAAGCCCAAAGGTAATTATACTTACTGATGAAAGTAAAAAATAGTGTACAAAAGTACGTGTAAAAAATAAAAACAAGGTTGTTAACTTTTATAGAGTATACGTAGAGTACGTGAAAAACTGACAATTTGACGGTTACTTTTAGAAGAAGAGTCTAAAAAGAAGGAAGAACCCAAGAAACCGTCCAAAGATGAGAAAGAAGTAAAGAAGTCTTCTAAGGAAGAGGAAGAAACAACAAAACCTAAAGGGAAGAGACAAGTGACAGAACCCACTAAAGTAAAAATGGAGAAACTACTCAAAGAGAAAGAAGTCAAGAAACAATTTAAAGAACAAAAAGATGTCATGAAACCATACATAGAGGAGAAAGAAGTTAAGAAATCCCTTAAAGAAAAGACAGAAGTCAAGAAACCACCTAAAGAAGACAAAAACATCATGAAACCATCCAGAGTGGTGAAAGAAGTCAAGAAACCATTTAAAGACAACAAATTAAAGAAACCATCTAAGGAACAGGAAGAAGTCAAAAAAACACTAAAAGAAGATAAAGAAGTGAAAAAACCTTCTAAAGAAGAGAAAGAGGTCAAGAAACCTTCTAAAGAAGAGAAGGACAGGAAACCATCTAAGGAAGAGGAAGAAGTCAAGAAACCATCTAAGGAAGAGGAAGAAGTGAAGAAACCTTCTAAAGAAGATAAAGAAGTCATGAAACCATCTGAAGAAGAGAAAGAAGTCAAGAAACCTTCTAAAGAAGAGAAAGAAGTCATGAAACCATCTAAAGAAGAGAAAGAAGTCAAGAAACCATCCAAAGAAGAGAAAGAAGTCATGAAACCATCTAAAGGAGAGAAGGAAGTCAAGAAACTGCTAAAAGATGACACAGAAGTCAAGAAACCATCTGAAGAAGAAAAAGAAGTCAAGAAACCTCTCAAAAAAGACGAAGAAGTGAAGAAACCATCGATAGAGGAGAAAGAAGTCAAGAAACCATCCAAGGAAGAGAAAGAAATCAAGACACCATCTAAAGTAGAGAAAGAAGTCAAGAAACCATCCAAAGAAGAGAAAGAAATCAAGACACCATCTAAAGAAGAGAAAGAAGCCAAGAAACCATCCAAAGAAGAGAAAGAARTCAAGAAACCATCTAAAGAAGAGAAAGAAGTCAAGAAACCATCTGAAGAAGAGAAAGAAGTCAAGACACCATATAAAGAAGAAAAAGAAGTAGATAAATTATTTGAAGAAAAGAAAGAGGCCAAGAAACCATCCAAAGAAGAGGAAGAAGCCAAGAAACCATCTAAAGAAGAGAAAGAAGTCAAGACACCATCTAAAG